ACAAGCAAAAGCAATCTGAGTTTTTAGATTGTTTCATTTCTGATAACAAAAAAATACTTTCCACTAATCAATTATGAATTTCAGAGAACATAGTGCAACAACAAGAACCTGGTTATCAAATTCATTCATAAACCTCATCGAATCAAATAAAACTAAAAACATCTATCTCAAATTACCTAATCTCGTCAAAAAAATTTAGATGATTTCTTGCTAATAAATACACATTATATAACGTAAAAAAAACACATAATCTAACTCTTCCTCCCAATTTTTGTTTAGATTTTTCCCTATTATATTTGTTTTTATTAGGCATGTTTAAATAAATAATTGAAATATGATGTCTATGCACATTTTGATAAATATTTGAAGCATGGTGGCTTATCTATGCATAGCTAGGGATAGTCTATATTTCTCGGAGTTAGCATAATAATAATATTTTTTTATTTATTTTTCTCGTCAATATAGTGTATTTTATTAATTTTTTTGTTTTAAATTTGAGGATTTGCATATCTTGTAGTTGACTTACTTGCTGTCATAACTTGCTTGCTCTCATAGTGATAATGGGTAGATGGACACCTATATTTTTCTAGCTCCAAATTCTTGAATCTATATTTCATCAAGGCAACACAATTCCAAACAAATCAAAAATCGCATAGATAGTCTCTGAGCTGTCGTTATATGGCGAAATTTGTGATAATAATGTTTATAATTGGTTTAAGAATAAACGTGCTCATTCAAGAACGCCATCCACACAAACACAAGATTCTCAACTTTAGCCAATGGTAAAAAAAGATGAATTACGTAAAAGAGTTTTAGGTATGATTATTTGTTGAAATATGATTTTTTTTGTTGATTTTTAATTCCCTTTTCTACATAATTTTATCATACATATTTGGTATTATGAAAGTCACTACAAGTTATGCACCAGAAAGGCGAACTAGATGTCGTGAGTTTGAAACAGGTTTGGGTTTTTTTATGTTCGTTTACTTGTGTTTTTCCTTTTTTTTATTTTTTTTAGAATTGTTTATGTTATCTTTCATCAATCTTATTTTTATGTTTTAGGTTCTATTGATGATTGTATTGAGTTATACAAGGATGAAAGCATTTGTCATGAAAAAGACTCTGAAATGAAAATGAAATATCAGAAATTCCTAATATTTTACATGATTCTAAAAGAGTTGATTCCAAAAGAATAAATCTACGAGATATTCCGGCCAAACCTTATATTCTTCCATCGTATACAATTTGTAAATATTGTGCTGCAAAAAAGTTTCATAAAGAAAGTAAGGGCTTTTGTTGTTGTCATGGAAAAGTTAGATTACAGTTAAATAGTGTTTCTGCTGAATTGTTTAAACTATTTACTTCTACTTCATGTGAAGCAGTTGCTTTTAAAAAAGTTGCTCGTAGTTATAACAATCATTTTGCTTTCACTTCTTTTGGTGTTCAATATGATAAAAATTTGTGTAGAAATAATAAAGGTATATATACATTTAGAGTTCAAGGACAAGTATACCATTTTATAAATCCATTGTTACTAACTGATAGGAAACCAGCATATTTACAGTTATACTTCTATGATACTGATAATGAAATCACTAATAGACTAAAAAATTCTAACAGGTTGAGAAAATTGATAGATATCTTAAAGATGAATCCATATTGTCATTTTTTCAATCATTAAGTGAAGTTTCTGATTTTGGTTCTTGTCATATTGTGCTTAGGTGTGATCCAGGTCTTGACCAAAAACTATATAATATGCCATCGTGTGAGCAGGTGGCCGCAGTGTGGGTTGATGAAGACCCATCTGCAAGCCTTCAAAATTGTGATATATTAATTTATGGACATTCTAACACTGCACATAAAGTAAATTACTATTATGGCTACTATGATCCATCTCAGTATCCATTAATATTTGCCTATGGAGAACCTGGAGGCACGAAGGTATCTAAAAAGTCAATTTGAATACTTCTTCACTCATGGATGAAAATTTTATACAAATTAAAATATTCACTCCGCTGAACAACTTTTGGAAATGGAAGATTGTGGTAAGTTTTATCATCTGTAAAATTGTTTTATATGTAATAAAAGAATATATAATTATATTGTCATTCTCAGATTTTTTCTTCATATTTCTTTTCAGTTTTGAAGAAAACGAAGAAGTGAATGAATATATCCTGTCGCGAATATTATTGCTACAAACTTCAAGTGAGGCTTTCAGATAAGTCTATACTTTTTCATACAAGCAAACTTCTGCAGCAATATATAGTAGATATGCATGTTAAAATTGAAACTGGAAGATTGGACTATTTTCAAAATAATCGAAAGATTATAAGAGCGGAACTTTACCAAGGAATTACAGATAGTGTACAAAGTGGTGAGAATAGAGGCTATAAGATCGGTAAATCAATAGTGTTATCAACAGGGTTTATTGGAGGTCCTAGAAATTTAACTAAAAGATATATGGATGCAATGTCTTCAGTTCAAAGATATGGAAAACTCGATGTATTTTTAAAAATGACATGCAATCCAAATTAGCCTGAAATTAAACAAGAATTAAGACATAATGATGAAATACAAAATAGGCCAAACTTATTAGCACGAATATTTCGAGCTAAGTTTGAGAAACTAAAAACAGATTTATTAAAGAGGGAAATTCTACGGCTTGTAGTTGCTTATGTTTATGTGATTGAATTCCAAAAAAGAGGTCTACCTCACGTTCATATTCTTCTATATTTAAACCAAATTTTAAGATTACTAATTCTATGCAAGTTGATGAAATGGTTTCGTGTGAAAAACCAGATGAAAATGATAAGACATGAAATGTTGTGATTTACATCCATTAATTCTTGACTTTTATGATTAATTAACACCTAAATGTGCTAAGTACCCTTATATTGTGATTTAGGTTGCATTTGGATGATCATGGCATAAAATAGGAGAAAAGAGCGAAAAATAATTTGAATGGAATAAATTGAAAGTTCAGAGACCAAATTGTAAGTAATCTCTAGATGAGACGAGCAATGGAATGAATATTAAAGATCTTGCGGGATCAATTGGACGCAATTAGAAGTTGAAGGGTTGAAATTGCAAGAAGAACAATTTAAAAGAATAAAAAATGGAATTTGGGACTAAAATACAACTTTTGGATGAAATTTTACCTGGGTGACATCCCAGTTATAAAATCTGGGCGACTGCCCAACACCAAAAATCAATTACCAAAGTCAAAAGCCATGCCTAAGCGACTGCCCGAGTTTTGCCTGAGCGACAGCCCCAAGTCAATCGCGGTGAGAAAAATCTGGTTTCCTTTTTTGATTGAAATTCTTATGGAAACAAATCTTGTACATGATATATATATCCCAAATCTCGTCCAAAACTTAAAGAACGCCCCAACCCCATTTTTTCTCTCTTGGTGCTCAAGATCTATGATGTGCAACTAATTTCTTTTGCTTGATCGAAGGAGAGGGAAGCCTTGGAACAATTATAACTGTGAGATCCACCTGATTTTTATTGATTAATTCATATATTTAGTATTAAATCTTCTTTTGCACTTACTTCTATGATTGTTGTGTTTATTTCTAGAGTGCACGCTAGTTTATTAGTCTCAATAATCTATAGCTAAGTTAATTATCAAATCAGTAATTGTTTGATTAATTTAACTTGTGAAGCAACTTGTATTAGTAATTTGCTGCTTTGAAAAATTATTAAATCTTATGGAGAAGATTTATCTAGGTTAAATGCAAACGCTTGGTTTGCGTTATCTAGTTCATTGATTTCTCTAATTTGCAAAGCCATTATTAAATTAAATTCTTGTGCTTGTCTAGGATTGTTTGATAATGAGGATTAATTAGATTGCTTGTTTCTAATTAATTAAAACTAAGGAGTAATAGGAAAATTATTTCGAACGGGAAATTTTATTTTTCACAATAAATGCTACAATTATGAATTGATGATTATTTGTGGAAAGGTTTGTTTTATTGCTTATATTTAATTAGGTGATTTGTATTATTTCAAGAAAGCTAAAATCTCCCATTTTGGTTAGTATTGCATCAAAAAGTAAATTAATCACTCTTCGTGGGATCAACCCTTACTTCCACGACTACATTAATTTTAAGAAGTATAGGTTTTAATTTGGAGTGTCTACGACAGCACACACCAAATTTTAGCGCCGTTGTCGGGGAATGATTTGGTTTATTTTTGTGCTTTTTATTTGTTTTATTAGTTTTTGTTTTCAAAAAAAATTTTTTTTGTTTATTTTGTTATTTTGTTTAATTTAGTTTTTTCTTTCTTTTTGCTTCCGTGATTGTTTATGCCCATAACTCGATCCTCAAACCAATGTGATTTGCAGTGCAATCCAGAAATAGAAAGAACTTTGAGCAGGTTGAGGATTGGCATGGCTAGGAATCAAACTTTGAAAGAGCTTTCAGCTCCGGATTTGCATCGACAACCCTTATGCATAACTTTCCCTAATTTAGATACTAAAGCTACTTTAGAATTAAAATCCGGACTAATACATCTTTTGCCTTCTTTTCATGGTCTTACAGGTGAAGATCCCCACAAACATCTAAAGGAATTCCATGTGGTATGCACGAGTATGAAACCCACAGGGGTAACTGAAGAGCAAATCAAATTGAGAGCTTTTCCATTTTCATTGAAAGATTCGGCTAAGGATTGGCTTTACTATCTACCATCCGAAAGTATTACCACCTGGGAGGAGATGAAGAGGTTATTTCTAGAGAAATATTTTCCAGCTTCAAGGGCAGCAAACATCCGAAAACCAATTTGTGGCGTAATGCAGGACAACAGGGAATTCTTAAATGAATACTGGGAGCGTTTTCAAGCGACTGTGTACAAGCTATCCCCATCATCAAATCAGTGAACAACTACTCATCCAGTATTTTTATGAAGGGCTTATACCCACATATAGGAGTATGACTGATGCTGCAAGTGGATGAGCTTTAGTAGATAAAACTTCTGAGGGCACGAAGAATTTGATTGCAAACATGGCAGCCAACTCTCAACAATTTGGCACTAGACTCGACACCACTTCTGGACCTGTTAATGAACTAAATGTTTCATCTATTGAACAACAACTTGCGAGTCTAACTTCTTTTATTCGACAAATGGCTGCAGGTAATATGCAAAAGGTGAAAGCATGTGGAATTTGTTCGATGGCATGACGTCCAGCTAATATTTGACCAACTCTTCAAGAAGATGAACAAGTTAATGCAGTAGGGAGCTTTCCTAGACAACCACAAAAGAATTATAATCCTTACTTGAACACCTACAATCCTCCTAATCTTAGCTATGGGAATCAACAAGAGAATCAACCAAACGTCCAACAATATAGGCAGCCATATCCTCCTAAACAACAACAGGACCAAACTTCAAGTTCAGGTAAGCCTTTAGAAGATATTGTTAAGTCTTTGGCCACTAACACTTTACAATTTCAACTGCAAATAAAACAATTACAACAGGAGGCAAGGGCAAGTATTAAAAGTTTGGAGAAGCATATGGGTCAAATGGCAACCTCAATCAGTATGCTAGAAGTACAAGGTTCGGGAAAATTACCCTCTCAAATAATGGTCAATCCAAGGGAAAATGCAAGTGCAATCTTGTTGATGAATGGTAAGGAGGTTGAAATTCCAAAGGCAACCCTTACATCATTAGAACAGAAAAACGAAAAAGATGTCACTGAAGAAAAGAGTGTTCCCAACGATAATTGCATACCTAAGCGTAAGTTTTCATCCCTTTCTGAGTATAAATCGATACCCCCTTTCCCTCGGGCTTTAGTAGAACCCAAGAAAGATGAACATAATCATGAACTTTATGAAACTTTTCGTAAATATGAGGTAAACATTTCATTGCTGGATGCTATTAAACAAATACCTCGTTATGCTAAGTTTTTGAAGGAATTGTGTACCCTTAAAAGAAAAGAGAAACTTAAAAAGTGTGAAAAGATAAACGTAGGAAAAAATGTTTCTGCAATCATTCAAAGAAATCTCTCTACAAAGTGCAAAGATCCAGGCATGTTTAGCATCCCTTGCACGATAAGCAACACTAGGTTTGAAAAGGGCATGTTAGACTCAGGAGTTTCTATTAATGTCATGCCATACTTTATATACGCTTCTTTAAAACTTGGACCTTTAAATGAAATTGGTGTTCAACTAGCTGATAAATCAAATGACTATCCTAAGGGTATAGTTGAGGATGTTCTAGTGAAAATTAATGATTTGGTTTTTCCCGCTGACTTCTATGTACTTAATATGGGATATAGTGATCAAACTATTCCCATTTTGCTAGGAAGACCATTCTTAAGGACATCCAAAACTAAAATAGATTTTTATAGTGGCATGATAACTATGAAATTTGATGATAAAATCAGTGAATTTAACATTTATGATGCCATGAAACATCCTGATGAAACTAACCCTGTTTATTCTATAAAAGTGATTGATAATTTGGAACAAGAAGTTTTAGAACTTGATGAAAACAATGCAGTGAAAGTTGCCATTGATAAACATATTGAGGATGTGAATCAGGTTGCCCTCAAATATTGCCTTGTAGGAAACTATTGTAGCATTGAATGCTTCTTCAAAGTCACAAAAGTCGGGTAAAAGTTTGTATATTGTTTTGCCAATTGCTAACGAGAGGCCTTTTTATACAGGTTTCCAAATGGCTGAGGTGAGAACATGGGACTTTGGGAACCCAATTGATGCCGATTGAGGAAGGAAGCAATAAGTCTAGCCAAAGATAATAAACAAAGGCGCTGCTTGGGAGGCAACTCAAGAGGAGTTCGTTCCTTTACTTTTTATTTTTCTTTTCATTTTCGTATTTGCATTCATATTTTAGGTTAAATTTATTCTCTTCTTGACATTTTACTTTAAATTGGAGACAAAGTAAAATTTAAGTGTGTGGGACGAAATTTAGGTTGTTTTTAAATTTTTAAAATAGGTCATGCTTCCGTTACTTTTGACAAGACAAGAAAAATATTTTGAGAAAAATTGAGGAAAAAGTTGTGATTTTAAATAATTTTTGGTTGCATGTGTTATCTGCTAGATTCAATTAGGCTTTGATGGACTCATAACATGATTGAATAAGTGATCTTCCAACTTAGAGTTAATTAGTTGAGTTATTTTCCTTGAAGATGGTAGTAACTAAATTTTGTAGACAAAAAGCCGGTGAGATTTTGAGCCCTTAGACTGACACATAAATATCGGTTTCACTATTTTCTTTCATGAGTGATTTTCTTCCATGAATTTGTTTCTCTAAAACTTGCATTGATTCTCTTCGATGTCATATTGATACATACATGCATGAACATGATTAATGCCATCTTTGTGACATAAGTTAGCCACCTTAGCCAAATAGCATACCCTGTAATTAATTTTCCCTTTGTTGAACCCCTTTGAGCCTTATAGCATTTTCTTTGTAAACCTATATTACAAGCTTTAAACCTGAAAAAACAATGTCTTTACCTAAGTCGTGGAGCTAGTAGAGTATTGTTCGTCATTTTGATATATGTGAGTGCGAAAGAAATAAGTGTGGGGTGTCTAAAATTTTGGTAGGATTATGATGGTGGAATGGAACATATTATTCAATTTCAATTCTAAAAAGAAAAATCCTTACCTGCATGCTATTGTGATCAAATCTATAATGCACGGTCCTTGTGGACAATTAAATCCTACAAATCTTTGCATGGAAAACAACCATACTCGTAAAAATAAATATCCAAAAGAATATATTTTACATACTTCATTAAGTAATGATTTTTACCCACTTTACAGATGTCGTAACGATGGTGTTACTGTTAGAGTCAGATGATGCATACTAGACAATAGATGGGCTATACCATACAATCCGTATATTTTAGCTAAATATGATTGTCATATTAATGTAGAAATATGTTCTTCAGTTAAAGCTGTGAAATATTTATATAAATATGTATACAAATTACATAACCGTGTTAATTTTGCTGTGAATAAAGAAACCAATAAATATTATATCGATGAAATTTCAAATTACCAAACTGCTAGATGGATATATGCGTTAGAAGTGTTGAAAATTCTCAATTAGTTATATACAATAAAATTGATGATTTATTAGAAGTTATAAATAAAAACTTTATCCAACAAACAATGTTAACTGAATTTTTTTGAATGAATATTTCTAATGAAAAGGCTTAGATTTTACTTTATAAAGATTTTCCTACACACTTTGTATAGAATACATATTTGTGAGTTTTAAATACTAGAAAAAAAGCAAAATGTTATTAGTAGAACAGTTGCTGCTAATCCATCTAACGGTGAGAGATACTTTTTAAGAATTTTACTGAATCATATTAAAGGACCAAAATCTTTCGAAGATTTAAAAACAATTAATGGTGTTGTAGCACCCCCTTATCGCCAGGCTGCATTCTTACGTAGTCTAATAAGTGGAAATAATTATTATGACACGTGTTTAACTGAGGCAATTTCTTATCTAATGCCTATATCACTTCGTCGACTTTTTGCTAATGTGCTGATTTTTTGTACCCCTACAAATTCTAGAAATTTATGTATTAAATTTAAAGCTTACATGATGGAAGATTTTTTACATACAAGTTAGACAAAGTATGATACTGAGATTAGAGCTCTACGGTGTACAAATTCATTCTTAGAAGTTGTTGGTGAAAGTGTAAATGATTTTTGCTTCACAGATTTCGACATTACTATAAATGACTCTGACATGTTAGAAAATATGATTTTAGAAAAAAGTGCAAATGCTAGTGTTGAGTCTGACATGCATTTTACAAAGAATTTAAATAAAGAAAAACAATTTGCTTATGATACTATTTTAGATTGTGTTTTCAACGATAGAAATGTACTTTTTTTATTGATGGTCCAGGAAGTACTGGTAAAACTTATTTGTACAAAGCATTGCTTACTACAGTACGATGTAGACAACTCATTGCAATGACAATAGCATCATCTGGAGTAGCTGCTTCTTTATTACCTGCTAGAAGAGCTGGCCATTTGCGTTTTAAAATTCCTCTTCGAACAAGTCCTGATATGCGATGTTCGGTAAATAAACAATCTGTATTTGGTCATCTTTTAAAATGACGAAGCTAATTGTGTGGGATGAAGCATCAGTGATTAATAAATATGCTTTTGATACAGGCATTAGTTAAGAAATATTACTGAAGGACGAAGCTTTGGATAAAACGTTAAAAGATATTACTGAATGTGAATTGATATTTGGTGGAAAGTTCATTGTGTGTGGAAGGGATTTTTGTCAAGTTTTGCCAGTGGTACGGAGAGGAACAAAAGATGATATTATGAAAGCAAGTCTAATATTTTCATATTTGTGACAATACTTTAGACAACTACTACTAACTCAAAATATGAGGCTAGATTGGATCCCTCATTTTGTGAATATTTAGTCAAAATTGGAAATGCAATTGAAAAGAAGCATACATGTTGCATGATTAAACTTCCTTCAGATATTGTCATAGATTTTGAAGATGAAATTAAATCATTGAAAAAGTTGATCAGCATTGTGTTTCCGAATTTTCGCACTTATAGTGACAATTTAAATACTATGATAAATAGAATTATTTTAACTCAAAAAAATGAATATGTACATATGACAAACAATATGTTAGTAAAAAAAACTCCAGGAGATACATTTACATATTTCAGTTTCGATGAAGTGATTGATAAAACGGAAGGATTTATTCATGAAATTTTTTTGAATAGTTTAACTCCAAATGGTATACCTCCACATGAACTTGTTCTAAAAAAAAAAAAAAAAAAGGTCTTGTTATGTTACTCAAAAATATTAATCCTTCGAAAGGTTTGTGTAATAGAACTAGACTTATTTGTCGTGAATTTAAATAAAATGTTATTTTAGCTGAAATTAGATCTGGTGAATATCGTGGAAAACAAGTATTTTTACCTAGAATTCCATTTATTCCACTTGAGGGAGATAAACATTCAGTACCCTTTAAAAAAACTCAATTTTCTTCCTTGTTTTGCTATGACTATTAACAAAGCCCAAGGTCAAACATTAGATTTTATATGTTTATATCTTCCCGAACCTGTGTTTTCACATGGTCAGTTATACGTTGCATTGTCTAGAGCAAAAACAAGACAAAATATAAAAAGTTTTGATTAAGCCAGCAGACGAAAATAAATCACATACTTGTTGCACAAAAAATGTGGTCTATCTGAAAATTTTGAATTTAATACATTCTATTTAACAAGTTTAGAATTCTAAATTGTCCAACAATTAATCTATCATCCCGTTGCTGCCAAAGTTAAAATTTATACATCATGTTTCAACAAAAGAATACATAAGGTTAGTTATTTTCATATTTTTTTAATTATAATTATATTTTGTTTGCTAATATGCTTGATTTTTTCCATCATCTTTCTTATTTAAAGCATAAATATGAATATTTAACAATAAATTTATGAGGAAAGAGACCATGTAAAAACTAAAACATTGTCAATTCATTTATGTTTATCACGATTTCACCACAGTTTAATTTTTTCTATACATACACCAACAATATGACAAAATAGAAAAAGAAAAAAAATACAACAAAAACTTATTACATAACATTTATTCTCATTACATGACCAGATAACTAAGAACGATAATGAAGAAAATATTCATTGTTACAAACCTTTATTCTCATTACATGACCAAATAATTAAGGACGAGGATGAAGAAAATATTCATTGTTACAAATATCCACTACCATCTTCTGTTTATAAATTGACATCCTATCAGGTGAAACTAATTCTATTGGCTGCCCTAAGACAAAGCATTCTATATATTTTAGTACGAATATTCCACATTTTGACCTGTAGAAGAAATAGTTTTACTTTAGGCTACATTAATATAAAGAAAAAATTAAATATCATAACAAATAAATAGCTATTTAAATGCTCACCCATTGCCTGTACATGGTAGATAAGGTATGATCTCCACTTGCATTGTTTTACTTCTATGTTTCCTTACATCATTTCTAGTAGAAAGCTCAGAATTCAAAATGAATGCATGGATTGTACTGTGTGTTGCTTTTGCATGTATCACGACTTGATGTGGTATAAGAATACCATTACTACAGTCATATATTTAGAATTTCCATTCAGGAATATTCACCACAAAAAGATATCAACAATTGCCAGGAAATGAGCATGGAATTAATAGATGCTTGCACGCCATCCATTTACGACCATTTATAGGCGAAACACCATTCGCATATTTTTCTAACGAAGTGAAGTCCACTTCTCCCTTAGTGATTTTGTTTTTCTCTTCTATTAACTAGGTGAAAATACTAGAACACTCATCTTCAAATTTGAAATCCATTATTGCATATTCTTTAGAAATTAGAGTAGAACCATCCTTAATAAGTCGCCTTAGTAACTACAACTCCAGCTCAATACTCTAATAGAGTAAATACATGTAAATTTAATTTATTGATATCAAACATAAAATTAAATTAATTGTAATTACTAAACTTTACTCACCGTGGCAGTTGCATCTTTTCCTACATCCAACAATTTTTCAACATGTCCCTTTCAATGTAATTGCCACTGTCCTCCCAATATGTACTATATAAAAAATATAAATTAATGTTAGATAATATAGTTTACTATCTACTGAATTAAAAAAATGGTATTTAAGCTAGTACAGTAGAGTTAAATTTGTTACCCTGACCGATTATGCAATATCCAATCTCTAATCATGTTGTACTTGTCCTTTGGATAAGTTTCTAAAGGACGGCTTTTTGATGACGAAGACAATATCTGTTTTTCTCCTTACCTTTATTTTCTCTTCTCAACCTTTCAAAACTTTCTCTTCGTTTGTTCATATATTGATGTTTGCCTTGGTAAATTGCTGGGAATTGGAATTGTGTGGATAGGAACATCTTGTTGCATAGAACCAATAATGGCTTCTATATTTGATACATTATTCAATGTATTCTTGTTCTGTTCATCTACGTAAGATCTCATTGAACTTAAACTGCTATCGACATAAGATTGCATGTTGCCTAAGATATTATCTTCTTGCCATTTTTGCTGCTATTGGAATTCCTGTTGGAATACTTGTTTGTGATTGTTAAGAATAGTATCCATATAAGAACGAATACTGGATTGCATATGATCTTCTTACCATTTTTAATGTTGTTCAAACAACTGGTTTTAGCTGCAAATTATTTCTTCCTTCAGGTTATGGCATACACCAAACACATCTAATATTACATGTTGCCTATGTATTCCCAGCATTTCTTCCATTTGTTCGCGAGTTATATAGTTGGACGCATCAAAAGCAGAAGCAGAAGTGGGACCAACACCAAGAGAAGTTCTCGAACTACTGGGAATAGTCGTTTCTTGCACAAAGATGTTTTTTGGGATTTGTTGTACTATGTTGTCTAATTCTCCATTGACAATACTATCTAACGTGCTATGTTGATTATCAGCTGACATTGAAAGAGTTGTATACCATGATATTTCTAACTCTTCTTCGGTGGGATATAACACTGCAATTACCTCAATCTGTAATCAACAAAATTACCNACCTGGAATGCAAGTGGATATCCTCTTAATACATATTTACAATCTATTTGTTGATTTTGTTATGCTCTTTGCACTCTTTCCGCTTGTGATTCTTGCAATGAATTTAACGAAACAAAATATACTTTTCGACCCCATGGATAAGCAAGAAAGTCATTGAGATGCTCGACCATACCAAGAGTCTTATAATCAATAATTCTGCCATTTTGTTTCAAAACACACTCCACAAACATAACCAAGCACATCTTAAATTTATATATGTAGTCTTCGCATGAATGGAACGCTTGGTGCAACATTCTCATAGTAATTCTTCTTGTACCATTGAAATAATGATTTATAAGACGATAGTTATTATGATTAATTTTCATAGATGGTTCATGGCATGGTAATCCAGTGATGAGACAATATTCTTGCATGCTAAACCTGTCAATACGATCATCTAACCGTACCCACACTTCGTTATTTTTACCACAATGTACAAGCCTCGTTACAAATTCATGTATCAACCTATTACTAAATCGTTCCTCTTCTGCTCTATAAATAATTTCCGCAAAAAATCCATAGAAATTGCTACACATAACAGAAGCATGGGGATTTGCATCTATAAATTCGATAAAATCTTGGAGATATTCCCGATTTGGATATTGACAGATAGTGGCAGAAAATCATTGATTTGGAGGGACAATATATTTTAGAGACATCTGCATAGATAAATCCAATAAAAGAAGAAGACAAATTTATATTTATAAGAATCTCATAAATTCTAACTCTATATCTATATGTCACAATGGCAACAATTCAGGTGTTATTATCTATATTTTCAGATAATTATGACTAAAGAATACTAAAATTTCAAGACCTTATACATACTATATTTCAGGTAGAATGGAGGCTTATAAATGAATAACTAAGGCTACAATTTTCCCTTCATGTTATCTTTCTTTTTTTTCCTGTATGTTGGAGATTTTATTTTAAAAGTGGTTATAATTTTTAGTTTCCTTTGCATTATTAGTTCTGCCTGCAGTAAACATATTTTAGTATAAAATCTAAATTATTTTTAAGAAGAAAATGTCTTCCAATTAAAAATATATTGTTAATACTTTTACTAAACATAAATTACTGGAAGATGCAAGCACATAGACAGGGTCTCTCCGTGCACGGAGAGGCCACCTTTCCGTGCATCACAGTGCCGACAACCTTTCCTTATCCATTCAACAATAAATCTTACCTTTTATCTATCTAAATGTTTGCACCTTGGACACTTCTCTCTACTTTGAACACCTTTCCTCTCTTGCAAAAATGTGAAATTGCTAAAATTTTAGTATGATTGATAAGATAAAATGTTAGAAAGAATCTTCACATGTGAACTCTCGTGACTTTTAGTAGTTGAGGTAGTAAGTGAAAATAATAATTGTAGGAATATTATTTTGTTGTTTTGTGAGTTAGTTAGGATAATAATTGTAGGAAATAAATTTTCTTTAACTTTTTTTTTCCTTTTTTTTTTTTTTTGTTATTTCATTAACATATTCATTTACATTTATATTTATATTCAAAAAAAATAATAACTAACTTCATCAAATTTGTCTTAGATGAAGAAAGTATATCATAAATATCTT